AGTGCGTCTGTATGAACCCCTGTCTCTCTGTGCAGTATTGATGTAGAGACAGACAGAAAAAAGAAACACAACAACTTGGAAAATCAAGTGTTAAGTACTGATATGGCTACAGGTATAACTGAGAACTTAATGAGGTGTGACGGAACTTATGAACGAGTGTGTTTGTATTAACCCCTGTCTCTCTCAGGTTGTGCAGTTCAAGCAGCAGTCTCGGCTGGAGGAGAAGAGGAAGAAGGCCCTGGACCTGCAGCTCGATTTCATCGTGGGCCAGACAGAGAAGTACTCCGACCTGCTGAGCCAGTCTCTGAGTGAGGCCCCTGCGGGATCCGTGCTCCTGCCGCGCCATGGGGCCCCGGTGCGGCCCGCTCCGGAGGAGGATGGTAATGTCTGATGAGGAGCAGCACGTGTGTGTCCGTGTCGGGTGTGTGCACATATTCACAGGGACAGTGCGTGTTAGACTGTTCTCAGCTACCTCTGCTCTCCCCAGATGGAGACTTTGAGCCCCAGTGTGAGGAGGAGGACGATGAGGAGACCATTGAGGTGGAGGAGCAGCAGGAGGGCAACGACGCCGAGGCACAGCGGCGGGAGATAGAGCTCCTGAGGCAGGAGGGGGAGCTGCCCCTCGACCAGCTGCTGCAGACTCTACGCGCACAGACGGAGGCCCAGGTGAGGTTCTGCGCAGGCTGGACATGAGACGGGGGGCGGGCAGGAGCTTGCGTGGGTCTGCGCATCCGGGGGGAGGCAGGAGCTTGCGCCGGTCTGCGCATCCGGGGGGAGGCAGGAGCTGTGCGGATCTGCGCAGACGTGCAGGTGGGGAGACAGGAGTTGCGTGGGTCTGCGCAGGCTGTGTAGGTGGGAGCTGCGTGGGTTTGCGCAGGCTGTGCCAGCGGGAAGGCGGGAGCTGCGCGGGTTTGCGCAGGCTGTGCCAGCGGGAAGGCAGGAGCTGCGCGGGTTTGCGCAGGCTGTGCCAGCGGGAAGGCAGGAGCTGCGCGGGTTTGCGCAGGCTGTGCCAGCGGGAAGGCAGGAGCTGCGTGGGTTTGCGCAGGCTGTGCAGGCGGGGGGAGGCAGGAGCTGCGCGGGTCTGCGCAGGTGGGAGATGGGGAGTGGCAGGAGCTGCATGGGTCTGTGC